GATGGTGTGTGTGGGTGTGTGGTGGGTGTGTGGTGATGGTGTGTGGTGGGTGTGTGGTGGTGTGTGGTGATGGTGTGTGTGTGTGTGGTGATGGTGTGGTGTGGGTGTGTGGTGATGGTGTGTGGTGATGGTGGTGTGGTGGGTGTGTGTGGTGTGTGGTGGTGGTGATGGTGTGTGTGATGTGTGTGGTGGGTGGTGTGGTGATGGTGTGTGTGGTGGGTGTGTGTGTGGTGTGTGTGTGATGGTGTGTGGTGGGTGTGTGGTGATGGTGTGTGGTGGGTGTGTGGTGATGGTGTGTGGTGGTGGTGTGGTGGTGATGGTGTGTGGTGATGGTGTGTGTGGTGTGTGGTGGTGTGTGTGGTGTGGTGTGTGATGGTGTGTGGTGATGGTGTGGGTGGGTGTGTGGTGTGGTGTGGTGTGTGGTGTGTGTGTGGTGGTGTGTGTGATGGTGTGGTGATGGTGTGTGGTGATGGTGTGTGGTGATGGTGTGTGATGGTGTGTGGTGTGGTGTGTGGTGATGGTGTGTGGTGATGGTGTGGTGATGGTGTGTGTGTGGTGTGTGTGGTGGGTGTGTGTGGTGATGGTGTGTGGTGGTGTGTGGTGATGGTGTGTGGTGGGTGTGTGGTGATGGTGTGTGGTGGGTGTGTGGTGATGGTGTGTGGTGGGTGTGTGGTGGGTGTGTGGATGGTGTGTGTGTGTGTGGTGTGTGGTGATGGTGTGTGGTGTGATGGTGTGTGGTGGTGTGTGGTGGTGTGTGGTGATGGTGTGTGGTGATGGTGTGTGGTGATGGTGTGTGGTGGGTGTGTGGTGATGGTGTGTGGTGATGGTGTGTGGTGATGGTGTGTGGTGATGGTGTGTGGTGATGGTGTGTGGTGATGGTGTGGTGGTGTGTGGTGGTGTGTGTGATGGTGTGTGGTGATGGTGTGTGGTGTGGTGTGATGGTGTGTGTGGGTGTGTGGTGATGGTGTGTGGTGGGTGTGTGTGGGTGTGTGGATGGTGTGTGGTGATGGTGTGTGGTGATGGTGTGGTGGGTGATGGTGTGGTGATGGTGGTGTGTGTGTGGTGATGGTGTGTGGTGTGTGTGTATGGTGTGTGGTGGTGTGTGGGTGATGGTGTGTGGTGTGTGTGTGTGTGTGATGGTGTGTGGTGGTGTGTGGTATGGTGTGTGGTGGGTGTGTGTGTGGTGTGTGGTGATGGTGTGTGGTGGTGTGTGGTGGTGGTATGGTGTGGTGGTGTGTGTGATGGTGTGTGGTGATGGTGTGGTGATGGTGTGTGGTGTGTGTGGTGGTGTGTGTGGTGGTGGTGGTGTGTGTGGGTGTGTGGTGATGTGTGTGGTGGGTGATGGTGTGTGGTGATGGTGTGTGGTGATGGTGTGTGGTGTGTGTGTGGGTGGTGTGGGTGTGTGGTGGTGTGTGGTGATGGTGTGTGGTGATGGTGTGTGGTGATGGTGTGTGGTGGGTGTGTGGTGGGCCTCACCTCCACGGCGCCCGTCAGGGAGTAGGCGTGGCCTTTCACCAACTTCTGTCGCGTCACTGCCTCCGAGTCTGCAGCACTGGTGATCTACAAGACACAGAACCAGGATTAAACCAGGATTAAACCAGGACTAAACCAGAACTAAACCAGGACTAAACCAGGACTAAACCAGGACTAAACCAGGACTAAACCAGGATTAAACCAGGATTAAACCAGGACTAAACCAGGACTAAACCAGGATTAAATCCGGGTGTGGACTCACGTCGATGGAGCAGCCCAGCAGAGCTCCGGCCTCCAGAGCTTTCTGGAGGATATGGAACAGGTTGGATGGAGGTCGGCTCAGGTCAAAGTTCTCGGCGATTCCTCCGGTGAAGTCCTCAAAGCCCTCGGTGGTGGTTCCCCCGGAGAGCGCCTCGTAACAACCGTTCAACCTGAAGGACAGAGTGGTTACCCTCACCTGTCACACACCTGTCACACACACACCTGTCTGCTCCTGTGGGTGTGAGTCTTTGTGTAGGCTTGAGGTTGTGGGTGTGATTCTTACTTGGTGTAGGCCTGAGGTTGTGGGTGTGATTCTTACTTGGTGTAGGCCTGAGGTTGTGGGTGTGATTCTTACTTGGTGTAGGCCTGAGGTTGTGGGTGTGATTCTTACTTGGTGTAGGCCTGAGGTTGTGGGTGTGATTCTTACTTGGTGTAGGCCTGAGGTTGTGGGTGTGATTCTTACTTGGCGTAGGCCTTCTCCAGCAGGGCGCTCCAGAACTCGCGGTTTTCAGCCGAATGCACAAACAGCAGCTCGCCGTCTTTCACCGGCAAACGATCGTCCACCACCACATCCACCCACTCACCATACTGCCAGAGCTGAAACACAACGAGAGGGCACCTGACACATGGGGGAGGGCACCTGACACACGGGGAGGGCATCTGACACACGGGGAGGGCACCTGACACACGGGGAGGGCACCTGACACACGGGGAGGGCATCTGACACACGGGGAGGGCACCTGACACACGGGGAAGGCATCTGACACACGGGGAGGGCACCTGACACACGGGGAGGGCATCTGAGGCACAGGGAGTAGGGGGCATGTGGAGGGTTGCATCCTGACGTACCTGGAAGTGGAATATTCCGGCATAGTCGCATCCAAAGCTCTGGTCCTGAGGCACGACTCGCGCCATCACAAACTCGTTCAGGGTCAGAGACGCGATCGCCGCGAGCAACCAGCAGTCACCTGACACAGAGAGCCAATCAGAGCGCAGCGTGAGACAGGAGAACCAATCAGAGCGCAGCGTGAGACAGGAGAACCAAGAGAACCAATCAGATCTTAATCAATCTTAAATTCAATCTTAAATCAGTCTTGAATTCAATCTTAAATCAATATTAACTCAATCAAACATTTATGATAAATATAAGATGAGGGACGTTTTCTTTCAACTTATGTGCAAAATTTCCTCTACTAATGAATTTATGTTAAAATATATAAAAACAGTTGACCCAAACTGCACTTCCTGTGAAGAATATCCTGAAACAATAAGTTGTCATTTTTAGGAAATGCACCAAATGACCAAAATCTTTAGGACAGACTGCTTAAAATGTATCAAAGTTCATATTGTCCCTGAATTTTCATAAAAATTTGAACATATTATTTTTGATTTACATGCAAAGAATTTAGACTCAAATAAAAAAATGACAAATAACGTAATTATTATATTTGGCAAATGTTATATTCACAAATGTAAATGATCTTATGGCTCTTTGTTTTTTTCCTGTTTTATTTAAGCAATTACAATTCTACTTTTCCACTATCTCTAGTGTAAATAATGTGATGTGTTCAGGAGGAGCTGTGATGTTCAGGAGGAGCTGTGGTGTTCAGGAGGAGCTGTAATGTTCAGGAGGAGCTGTGGTGTTCAGGAGGAGCTGTAATGTTCAGGAGGAGCTGTGGTGTTCAGGAGGAGCTGTTGTTCAGGAGGAGCTGTGTGTGTCAGGAGGAGCTGTGGTGTTCAGGGAGGAGCTGTAGTTGTCAGGAGAAGCTGTGGTGTTCAGGAGGAGCTGTGATGTTCAGGAGGAGCTGTGGTGTTCAGGAGGAGGTGTGGTGTTCAGGAGGAGCTGTGGTGTGTTCAGGAGGAGCTGTAATGTTCAGGAGGAGGTGTGGTGTTCAGGAGGAGCTGTGGTGTTCAGGAGGAGGTGTGGTGTGTTCAGGAGGAGGTGTGGTGTTCAAGAGGAGCTGTGGTGTTCAGGAGGAGCTGTGGTGTGTTCAGGAGGAGGTGTGGTGTTCAGGAGGAGCTGGGATGTTCAGGAGGAGCTGTGGTGTGTTCAGGAGGAGGTGTGGTGTTCAGGAGGAGCTGTGGTGTTCAGGAGGAGCTGTGGTGTGTTCAGAAGGAGATGTGGTGTTCAGGAGGAGCTGTAATGTTCAGGAGGAGCTGTGGTGTTCAAGAGGAGCTGTGGTGTTCAGGAGGAGCTGTGATGTTCAGGAGGAGGTGTGGTGTGTTCAGGAGGAGATGTGGTGTTTAAGAGGAGCTGTGGTGTTCAGGAGGAGCTGTGGTGTTCAGGAGGAGCTGTAATGTTCAGGAGGAGCTGTGGTGTTCAGGAGGAGGTGTGGTGTTCAAGAGGAGCTGTGGTGTTCAGGAGGAGCTGTGGTGTTCAGGAGGAGCTGTAATGTTCAGGAGGAGCTGTGGTGTTCAGGAGGAGCTGTAATGTTCAGGAGGAGCTGTGGTGTTCAGGAGGAGCTGTGGTGTTCAGGAGGAGCTGTGGTGTGTTCAGGAGGAGCTGTGTGTTCAGGAGGAGCTGTGGTGTTCAGGAGGAGCTGTGGTGTTCAGGAGGAGGTGTGGTGTGTTCAGGAGGAGGTGTGGTGTTCAAGAGGAGCTGTGGTGTTCAGGAGGAGCTGTGGTGTGTTCAGGAGGAGCTGTGGTGTTCAGGAGGAGCTGTGGTGTTCAGGAGGAGCTGTGGTGTGTTCAGGAGGAGGTGTGGTGTTCAGGAGGAGCTGTGGTGTTCAGGAGGAGCTGTGGTGTGTTCAGAAGGAGCTGTGGTGTTCAGGAGGAGCTGTAATGTTCAGGAGGAGCTGTGGTGTTCAAGAGGAGCTGTGGGTGTTCAGGAGGAGCTGTGTGTTCAGGAGGAGGTGTGGTGTGTTTCAGGAGGAGCTGTGGTGTTCAAGAGGAGCTGTGGTGTTCAGAGGAGCTGTAATGTTCAGGAGGAGCTGTGGTGTTCAGGAGGAGGTGTGGTGTTCAGGAGGAGGAGCTGTGGTGTTCAGGAGGTGTGGTGTTCAGGAGGAGCTGTAATGTTCAGGAGGAGCTGTGGTGTTTCAGGAGGAGCTGTGGTGTTCAGGAGGAGCTGTGGTGTTCAGGAGCTGTGTGTTCAGGAGGAGCTGTGGTGTTCAAGGAGGAGCTGTGGTGTTCAGGAGGAGGTGTAGGGTTCAAGAGGAGCTGTGGTGTTCAGGAGGAGCTGTAGTGTTCAGGAGGAGCTGTGGTGTTCAGGAGGAGCTGTGGTGTTTCAGGAGGAGCTGTGGTGTTCAAGAGGAGCTGTGGTGTTCAGGAGGAGGTGTGGTGTTCAAGAGGAGGTGTGTTGGTCAAGAGGAGGTGTGGTGTTCAGGAGGAGCTGTGGTGTTCAGGAGGAGGTGTGGTGTTCAAGAGGAGCTGTGGTGTTCAGGAGGAGCTGTAATGTTCAGAGGAGCTGTGGTGGAGCTGTGGTTCAGGAGGAGCTGTAATGTTCAGGAGGAGCTGTGGTGTTCAGGAGGAGGTGTGGTGTTCAAGGAGAGTGTGGTGTTCAAGAGGAGCTGTGGTGTTCAGGAGGAGCTGTGGTGTTCAGGAGGAGGTGTGGTGTTCAGGAGGAGCTGTGGTGTTCAGGAGGAGGTGTGGTGTTCAAGAGGAGCTGTGTGTTCAGGAGGTGTGTCAAGAGGAGCTGTGGTGTTCAGGAGGAGGTGTGGTGTTCAGGAGGAGGTGTGGTGTTCAGGAGG